ATCCACTGAGCCAAACCAGCCAGGGCTGATTTCACTTTTATAAAGCCAAATATCTAAGCCAATCCAACTTGACAATTATTGTCTGACCACATACAAACTCTTAGGAAGGCAACTTCAAACAGATTTCCTCCTGGTAGCTATTTGCCCATGAACAGAGAGGCTCTGGAAAGAGGCTCCAAGCTCCACTGACCACAGGAACTTCCGGCCAAGAATGTAATCACCGCTGCAGAAGGCAGAACAAAGGCGATGAAAGGAAGCCATAGAACAGAGTGTGTGCAGAATGCGGTGTGTCCTACAAATGAGGAAACACGGGCATCTCCCCAGAATCACATTCAGCACGGAAGCACTCTAAATATGAAAAGTAAGACAAGCTTTTTAACTCCTTGCCAAGGCTTCCTGACATCCAGCACTTTCGTGAGGTCAAGAAATGTGTCCCCAGCTTCTGTTTTCTGTTCCCCTTCAGAGAACACGTTGAAGAATGGGGCCGTCCAGCTGCCTGTTAGCACGACACACTTGGCTGACTCCCGTCCTTACCCGGGGAGTGTGTCCATCGCATTTGGACTCACAGAAGAAAAGCCAAAATCAATTTAACACGAAGGAAATTCACATATTTTTGCCTCTTTAACATTCTCCAGAGTGCCCATGGTATAGTTAAGTTGATAAAGTTTTATCTAATGAAGATTATTGAGGCATAAATCATATAGGTAAAAACTGAGACATCAGATGGAGATGAAATCTAAAAGCTAATTAAATTCAGTAAGGGCTCTCAAAAGAAATCACACCCACTAACCTTCCCATGCTAATATTTTGTTTCGGAAGGGACAGTTAGTGGTTGTAGTTTGCACAGGGTGATTCTATAGCAAAGCCTGAGAAGGAGAAAAAGAAGATTAGATGCATAGATTTCTGTGCTGAATGGATGCCAGGGCCAAGATGCAAGAATAGATAAGTTTGAGATTTGGAGGAACTAAATTTGAAGCCAGCCACTAAAACGGATTGAACCTTATTACCTCTAGTCACTGAGAAATTCCCGAGACAGTTGGATGCAATTTGAAAAGGTCAGAAAAATATTTCCTGCGCAGCATTACTGCTTCATGGTTTAAGGGTGTACATTTGTGATATGCCAACTCGAATCATTTTTTTTATTGACTTTGCTTTCCAGAGACAGACAGACAATCTGGGAGGCAAGACCAGTAGATAAGAGAAGCGCAATCTTATAAATGAAAAATCTCTCTTATTTTGTTCTCTTTTTCACTTGTGACTGTGAAAAGTTCCAAATCTGGCCCATTGGAGGAGAAATTACACCAACTTCACTGAAGAATGGCAGAATAGAAATGAAATATAGGGAAGTATTGCTCTAATTCTAACAATGCCATTTTCTCTTAATTACTATTTATTTAGCTTCTACTATGTGCTAGGCATTGTGAAAGGCAAAGGATGCTACACTTTCACCTAAGTGTGAATATATAAAATGAAATACCATAAATACCAGGGTGTGGATATTAATTTATTGTTGGCATTTCCTTTGAGGGATGGCTTCATAATAGAGGGAAAGCCATAAGAAAGGGTAAAAATTAATTAAAATATAACTATATACTCAAAATAGTGTCTTAATAAAGGCTCTATTGTGATTAGAACCATTCTAAATACAAATAAAACAATTCTTTTTACTAGGACTTGTCTGTAGTAAAAACCTTTGTTGACAAATGCATCTGTGGGTCTTTGTTTTGGCGTGTGATTAAAAATCAAAGCTGAATCTCCAATACAGAATGGCAGGATCCATTCTAACCCTGCAGAGGTTTAAGTAACACCTGACTTTTTTGTCTGTGAGGAGCCATGAGTTTTGGAGGCAAACACAAGCCTATTTACTCTTCCCTTGTTTAGTAGCAAGACTGAAACTCGTTAATGGCCTTGAGACTCAACTGTATGCTCTCATATGATGTTCTGGCTCCATAAAGATGGCCTGGCAGTCTCCTAGGGCTATTTAACCGAGATGGCTTTTCCTATAGAAAGACTAATTGCTAAGCAATCCCACATTTCATAAAATTCAGGAATTTCAAATTATACCCTGTAATCAACAAGGCCACCACTACCGGCAACACAAGAAGCAAATTACAAAATAGTTTGCTAATATCAGGTATCCAAAAGACAAGTGAAAAAGTCAGCTCGTTAGATAGACATTTAAATTCTTGAAAGTGAAGGTAAAAATATCTGACTTATAAATGACTTTTTCTATCTTGAATATTTGGCATTGGTTAGATACAAGCAAAAAATTTGGTGGGATTTAAAATTTTTTATCTTTCTTGTGTAGCATATTAGATTTAACAATAACAACAAAAAAGGTGATGGTATAGAGGTTTCAGTGAATCACACTTAAAATTCAAGCTTTTCCACATTTTCATTTCATAAGCTCTTTGTTACAAGCAGAAAAAGAATCTAATGTGTCAACTTTTTATTTCCACGACCTAAGCTCTCCATAGAAAAATATTTTGAACCTTTCACACAACCATTAATATCTATAATGATAACAATCCTAAAAGTATTATGAGTAAAAATAATAATTATAATAGAAGTAGTGACCATTAGTCCAGTATTTACTTGGTGTGGGCACCATGCAATTATATAATCTCATTTAATCCTCACAGCCAATTTAAATAAAATAAATGTGACTTTTTTTCTTTCATATTTTCCACAAGGAGATTGAGGCTCAAGGAGGCCATGAAACTCATCTAGGTCAGAAAACTAGTTATGTGAGACAAAATCCAAGCTCCTCTGAATCTAGTTCCTATTATTTCAAAGTCATGTACCTTTAGCAAAGTTCATGATCATTGCCAGAGCCAGGAGTGTTACTCCTCTCAGATCATGCAGCATTTCTGGAGTTGTGTTGAATAAAATTTCTCTACTAGTATAGATTGAGTCAGGCATGCCAAAAGTTTGCTGACTACCCACAAAACATAGCAGCCACCTTCTAGACTCTGAGCTAACTGTGGTGTATGGATATATTTCCTGTATTCATGGGATTTAGTTCATGAGGAAAATAATACAGTCATAGCAGCTTGGACAGACAAGAGGAAAGCTCTTTGGCTGAGGTCAGGGAATGAAGAAAGAAAAGCCTTTCATCCCTTCATCAGCTCAGAGCAAGCCTGGAGAAAGAAGTTTCACTGGAAGAATTACAGGTTAATGGTTGAACTTCTCAAAGATGGGAGGAAAAAAAACTCCCAAGGAATTATGCTAAAGCAAATTACAGCACAGGACAACCTGTCTAAGCTAGAAGAACCTAGTTTTTTTTTGTTGTTGTTTTTTTTTTGGTCAGGTGCCCTTTCAGAAGACCTTTCTTCCAGCCCCGGAC